AGTCAGTTTAAAGTTTTCACTAATTTTACCTAAATTTTTCACGATTAGCGACGAGCAGGGCAGAATAACGACTCATTCAACTTCACAGACGCAATAAAACAGCAAATCACTGCTATGTGCACTCCAAAAACGCACTCTCGAACAATAAAACTTGAGCAAACAAGATAAACCACTACATTTGTTAGAGCACACCGGTCTGTGCGTCCTAATGCGAATGTTACGTTCGTTCACTCTACAGAATGTAAACGCAACGCAATGTAATATAAACGCAATGTAAACCTTCCTCTCATCAATTGGACAATAATTAAATGTACTTTATATTGACTTTTGCCCACCATAATAAATAAATTTAAAACTTTAAATAGCAATTAGTTGTACGGTCTAGCGTTTATCTAAAATATTGACATTTTAAAGTTTAATTTTGTTCTGTTGCAGACATTGTGTTTTTTTGCGGCGTGTAATTTTTTTATGCTCATGCTATTTATATTCTCAAGAGTGTTGTAAAAGTCCGATACTTGACTGTGCACATTTTCGACCCTGTGTTTGTTGAGTTGTTTTTTTTGTTCCACGGCTCTTCGGGTCGTTTTTTTTCGGGTTGGAAGCCAATGTTCGTTATGTGATCGTGATGTTGAGTGGCAATATAGTGTAACAAGTAGCAAAAGTAGTGCTGCGTCTGACTTTATCACACCTTATCATCCCCATGCCAGTATAAATCTATAACTCCGCAGAAGTTATGAGCAAAAAGGTTTTTTTCGGGTATTTTAACTTTTTGGAGCTTGGGAGTTACGGGGATGATGAAACACGAGGGGATGAAAGATTGTAAATGCATAGGGGGTACTAGGTGGTGTTAAGTTCACCTGAAATTCAAACCCTGAAGACTCATGTCCCAAAACGCCGAGCCCAAAATCCCCAGTCTCGAAAAAAAAACAAATAAAAAAATATGGAAATATGGAAACCCAAAAATGTATATTCCTGTAAAAGAAAAATAAACCAGCACAGACGTAGACAGCGCCGTAAGCTTTTCGTATAATTTTTTGTGCATGTTTCAAAAATCATTGCAGAAAATGAAAAAAAATTAATAACGTTAAGATAAATAAAAATAAAGATAACAGTTTTTAATCTTAATAATACTGTTATTTTTGAAATTGTTATGCTGTCCGCACACGTACAGCTTTGTTATTGCACCGTCGCTCCTGCACGTCGCATTCTGACACACGTTTTTATGACAAGAGAGCGAAAAAAATAAACAACTATAGCAGGCAAATTGCGGCAATTGTGAGTCTGGCGGCAATGGTAAAAAGTGCCCATCAGGCCATCATAATCATTGCAATTACGAACGCGTACGCCATGCTGCAATAATCTACTCTCTACACAATAATAAATACGTAGTCACATGCTGCTGTGTTACAGCGTCACTATGTACTTTGGAATTGTTTAAATTGTAATGTTGATAAGCGATGATTACAAAGATTATAACATAAAAAACAACAGCAAACAAGCTATAACTCAATTATTATTTAAACTATGTTATTATTTTTAAAACAAGTTTATTTGTTATTTACGTCATGCGTTATTTTTTATTATGTACTTGCAGTTTACTTTACATCACTTTAAGAACTCGCTGTTCTACATTCTTTTGTGTATTGTAGTGTTGATGTTAGTCACGTGTACCGGTACTTGTAGAACTACTTGGCGTACTTGTGCTTGGCTGCAATTGCGATATCTGTGCGACACTCGCTGGTACCTGTGTCATATGTGATGATGATGATCGCGATATTGCGGCATCGCGTTTTACCCCGCGTTGTGCGCCTCGCGGTTGACCTAAATGTTTGTTTACTAAACTAAACCAGCTGAAATATTGATTCTTCTCATTTGCCACCTTAGAATTACGAAACAAATGAGTTATTTAAACTATAATGTCTCACATGCTCCGCCCCTAATGTAACTGCGCAGGCGTGAGATAAATGCAATCAACTCTTTTAGTATTTCATGGCGAAATGAATATTTAACGTAGATTGGATTACTCTCACACGATGTTAATACGAATACACATTATGTGCATAACAACCAAAGTGCACACAAAAGGGGAATTATACCTCATGGCATTAATTACGTTGATTAAAAGTTTAAGATCCGCACCGCATCAAGCGTACACGATCAATTTAAGTTTGAGCGTTGAGAGTGTAAAAGATTCATGATTCATTTGCATATTTAAGAGAAACGTACATTATTCATGCGATTTGTAATCACTGGTTTATTTGAACCGGTTCAAATTGTTTTGTGTTTGCAGATAAACCTATTTTATGCGATGGAAAAAAGCGCAGTGGAGTAAACGAAGTAAAAGTTAAGCAGTGTTACTTGGTCGTATAGCATTAGTGCCCTGTCGGCATGGCAGTCGCAATCGCAACAAGCCGCCTCCACGCGCCGTCGACCACAGATCCTTGCCCCCTTGCGCTCTGCACCGGCGGCGGCAAACGTGCAACAATCGATAAACGCGTTCATCCGTAACACTACAAAACGCCACGGTATTCAAAGCAATACGCTTTTACTTATTTCCTTGTATTAATTAACCTATATATGGGAATCTCGGTCCAATTAGGATTATTATTCATTTGTTAGAATTTTTTTATGAGTAACTCCAATGCTAATCGGACAATCAGCATGATCATTTCTAAAAATATTTGTAATTAAATTCAATATTTAATAAAATAAAGATTTATTAAATAAAATCATAACGCATAAAATTATAATGAAATAAAAATGAATTATAAATTAAATAACTTTTCAGATAAATTTATTTACAATTTTTGACTCGAATTTATTATTATTATAATATTTGCATTTACAAATGCATAAGTTAATATTTTATTGATTTATACTCAGAATTTGCTCTTTAATATATTAATTATAATTATGAATTTCTGAAGCCACAAATTTGATTCGAGTGCAACGTCAACGTGAGTCACAAGTACAATTCGTAGTTAAACAATGGCCAATGCGTCACACGAGTTGGAAACTGAGTTAGGTCGAGTGAATAGAACTCCCTCATTGTTGAGAGCTGATAATAGTAATAGATATGGTTGATGTGACTGCTGACAATGACACCAGAAAAGTGTGTAACCTACAGTGTGACATTTAAACAATCATTTTTGTGGCATATTTACAACTAAAACAATAAATATATAGGATAGGTACTACTGATTGTCAATTTTACCAACAATCGCCCTCTGGCGTGTTGGAAACAAAGTGAAAGTGAAAATGTATTTCCCATGATAAAATAATTTTTGTTGACACACAAGTTAGCCCTCCAAAGCAGTTTAGCAGTTTAGACAAAGTCAAAACATGTTCGACTTCGAACACTTTGTAAAGGCCCACCTTTTTCGCATTAATCGTTAGCGACGTGCCCTGAGTGCCATTAACACAGAGTGCTCCAAACACCCAATCTATAAGCCCTAATCGAAATTAATTGCTTTTCTATATGTAATAATCTAATAAAATAATAACCAGCATCAGCATCTGTCTACATAAACTTCCAATAACACTATTAGCAATAAGTAATCACTAGTTCGACGACCTTTTAGTTGTAGTAGTATTTATAAGATGTCGAGAGGTAGCATTTAAAAGCATGGGTATGTGGCAGTGGGCCGATCCAATTTGGCGCACGCCATCGCCCACGTACACTCGCAGCGCACAGCGTTAATTTCGTTTTCGTTGAGGGGTTCGAAATCGACTGCACGCGCTCCTTGAAATGTGGCAAGGTGGAAGCCCACGGAAGGTGGGACGAGGTGCCTAGGATGCGGGTGTAATATATTCAACGCTGAACTTCAGTGCCAACAGGCAAACATTCTAAACACACTCAATACGTTCACATCACACGTGAATCGCTAACTAGTAACGAGGTGATGAGGAAGAGGCAGTGAATCAATGAGGTGGTAAGATAGTGCATTTGCATTGTAGCATATTGTGATTTAATTTTACTTTCCATTAATTACACGTTCTGTCATCGTTAATTAAAAGCTTTGAAACAAACAAACATTCGAGATGCTCATGTAATAAATACTGCTATGTTTTGTAAATTTAAGTGAATTGTGTACTAACGTGCATTTCGTACATTGGCATTTAATTAATTATTCATAATTCCTGATTGTTTGTTGTCTGGTTTGCTGCGGGTGGCTGCATGCTTGAATTAATTAATTGAGTTCCCAACAAAATACAAAACCACGAAACGTTTTGGGTGAAAAACATTAGTATTTTGAGAGAAAATGATTTCAAGAAAATTTTATGTAAAATTTACATATATTTATGTATATTCCGTACTTATATCGCAACTCCAACATAGTCCCAACCGAAAGTATAACTTTTTCGTGTATATAGCCAAGCTTTTTATACTTTTTATTAAAAATATGATCGTGATTTCAAATGTTTGATTAAATCCTTTGCAGTTTCTTATTACTTTGACTTTTCTCATTTTTAATTCAATGTCTCCTTAATGAAAGATGGAAGCTATATAGGCAAGCGTTTTGCATGCTCCTATCAAACGCAACCCACAACCACGCCGGCTGGTTGAGGTTAGTCTGGCTTATTAAAGTCGAATGTCCGTCGGAGTACTCGACATTGATCTATAGCGACAATAAATTAAGAAAATCAGTTGGACTCAAACGCAGGTCGAAAAGGGAAACTAAAGAAACCGCTCGAATGATGAATTAGGTAATAAAACACGTGCGAGAAAAAAAATACTGTAACACGAAACAAATTGGAAATAGTAAATAATGACTAGAAAGAAGGAATCAAAAGAAAATTGGGAATAAAATGCGCAAAACAAGTAAAAAGTGTTGGAGGATGACGAAGGACAAGAAAGCGCAAACGAAAATCTAATATTAAAAGGGTGAAATTGAAAAGGGTTGAACTTTAAACTAATTTTAGCGTGAAGTAGAAAAATTCTTCATCAACTTTTTTTTCTTACTTGCTGTTAAACTAATTTCAATGTTTCTTTGTTTTAGGTAAGTTTCTTCATTCCAAGATGTTTGCAGTTGGGAAATTTATGTAGAAATGTGACAGTTATAAACTCGCCGGTGGCAGTAAGTTTTAACAAAGCAATTCGCAAATATTGATTAAAATGTTACTTGTTATTTAGCGGTTTGGATCTGTTTATGTCACAGTTTAGTCTGTATTATTCTACTTTAAATTGTTCGACTTGTTTCCGACGCCGACGCTAAGTGTGGTGCGAATTTGTAAAATTAAATTGTGTCGCATCGATTTTCGCGCTCACGCAGCACGTTCTCCGACAACTCATTCAATTTTCTCGCCGTGTTGGTTTTCCTGCTTTTCCAATACATTTTCAACACTATATTGTCGAATACGTTGAAGGATTTTACGCCAAACATTGATGAAAAATGTCAGTGTTGACAACGAATAATCTCTGGGGAGTTGGGATCGCAGATGTGGAAATGTAAAAATGTTGAATTGATGTTCAACAACATCCCTTTGTAAATCCCAGAGAATTAAAGTGTTAGAGTTCAAATCTGTTATTTTGTTGTGTCAACCAGCGCCACATACTGGAGACGAGCGGAATGTGTCGCAGGACTTGACTCACACTCTTCTCGCTACAGAAAGCTTGAATAAACAGTGCTATAAAACTGTAGTAGAGCCGAGTTATTTGCACACTATTGATTTTATCATGTCAGAGGACTTGGCTTCTAGATGTCGCTAGCGAACTCAAAATCATCTAACATAATAGGTTTTATACAACACATAAACAAAATATTACAACACGATATATAAATAGTAACAGATTGTTATGACTAAATGTTATTATATTAACACGAAACTATGAAATGCGTGTGCATAAACATCGTATTAATTACTCTCATAATTAAAGTTTATGTAAATAATTGTTGATGATTCAACGCTTGCAATTTATGCGAATTATATCGATTTTGTATACGTGGGCTTTAAATAGAAATAAAATTATACCAATGCCAGGAATTTCAATTTGCTAAATGTGGTTGGTAATTTTACATTTTACGATCAATTAAATGCGAAAGCTGTGTTAATGAAAATTCTCCGAAGTTAACATAACAACAACAAATTGCTAAAAATCAATCATTTATTTTAAATTATTCAAATAATAATTAAGTTTATTTTAGTATATTTCTGGATATAATGCAATGCATGATAATTTGTGCAATGTCCTTCAAAGGGTGTGTTTTAATGAATTTTTATTAGTCATTGAATTTGCAATTCAAATTCCTGACGTTTCCGGCGCTTTTCTGCTGTTTTTTTTCCTTAGCAGTAATTCTTAGTGATGGAAATTCATTGACACCCGTGTCAAGAGAAACTCATGAATATAATTAATGTGTATTTTTGTTTTTGAATAATTAAGTAATATTTACATTAACTTCATCAGATAAATTAAATATTTTAATACTAAATAACAAGTTTTTTTATTTTACAAAGATTCAGAGGAAAACTCTTTTCTTTAATTAAATTCATTGATTTTTTATAATCTTTAAGCAAGTCGCACTTTAACATGAAAATACCTACGTATTTTTCTTAGGGGTGCAAACCGGCAGCGAAAAATCGGGTGGAAAATAAATTTAATGGATTTGCAAATACGCGAAGCTCACTTCAAGTCGGTTTGTGACGTTTTGCATTTAACGTCGAACAAAAGCGTTCAAAACGACACGAAACGAAAAAAAAAGCATCAGAAAAGTTACGCAAATTATGCGGAGAAAAAGAAGAGTGAATAAAAATGTAAATGAATATTTGATTTTTAAAAATATAAATTTTTAGGAACTGCCTAAAAATGTAAATTATACTTGTTTTAATTAAATCATATAAAACAGGCTAAAAATTTAATTAAATCCGACATAATAAGATAATCTGCGGCAAATTGTCGGTTGAAGAGTGGAGAACAATGTCGGCAAATAAGTATGATGAAAACTATGTGCGAGCACATAAAATTACGTCTAAGTGAAACTACGCTCGCCCGGCGCCTCCACTCGGCTGGAAACACAGCGAAACTCGATCATTCAGCCGCCGCTACCATTCGCGCGCCATATGGCCGAACGCAACAGGCTGCTCGCCGACCGTCGACCCGAAACGACGCAAAACGAGAATCGAAAGCTGCTACTCGTATCTACACCAACCTACTTTCAACAAAACCTTTCCAGCACCACCCCCATCACCCAACCACCCTATTTATTGTCCTGTATAGTACCAACACCGTAAGGTTGGCCCAAAGTAGGGTAAAACCTACATTGCCTGCGAATCCAATTCTATCTTTTATAATCCCGATTTTCAATCTGGGCGCAATGTGTCTGTGGCTGTGCAGGCATACGGGATGGAAGCAGATAAAATAGAATGCGCTTCAGTCGGCAGCGGCGCGTTATTAATTTGTGATTAGGAGTCGCACAACGCACAACGACGCCGTCGACGCGATTACCTTCCACCCCTGCCTTTCAATCTGAGAGGTGTGAGTTAAGTGGAATACGTGATGTACACTGTTTGCATTTTGTGAATCAACACATGGAATAATTATAATTATATTTACAGAAATATATTTTAGATGAATTTCTATCTTGAACGCAGTGAAAATGAAAACCTTTCTATTGACATCTTTTTGATTCTTTTCCTACATCCGCTTCACCCTTCCACCATCCGAGATTCATCCACCTGAACACCGAGATCTTCGTCACAGCACTCTCCGGCTCATCGCACCCATCGCACCCATCGCATTCAGGATGGGACGAGATATTAATAAACCCGCTCTCATCGTCAACCCGCAAACCATTCATGGATGAAACTTATACCAGGTCAATATTGTAACATAATTTAGCTGGTGCTTTCGTAAAGATATGTTTAAAAGATGTATAGCGGGCGTAGTGATTTTTTTCGGGTGTCACCCGGTATGGAAAGGTGAGTGCCAGTTCGTTGGTCGATTATTGTCGACCGCGCGCTCATCATTTCGGTCGGTTTTGTCTTTGACGAAGCCTTTCGGCTCGGAAGTTCAAAGCGCGCGACGGGTCAGAGCAGAGATGTATAAATAAATTGGGAGCTTTCACCAGCACTACATCAATATGATATATACGTGTGTGTGTGTAACATAACCTAATTTAAGAATAAAAATATACATTTCTGAAGTTATGTAGATATAACCTGAAAATGTTTTGAAAATGTTGAAAAATTTGTTGGAAAGTGGTCGGGAAGCACGAGCAGCTGCGAAGCCGGAAAGGTCGCATTGTTTGCGGTGCGCACGCGCCGCGCGGGATATTCGTCCTTATCGATTAGGACCAAACGTGCTGAAAATAGCGACCGCGCGTCCACCTTCCCACCACCTTTCCATCGCGCATACTGTTCCTTTCATTCGATCTGTGTTTACAGCTCGACTTTTATTATATTCAAATTTACAATTAAACATTATAACAAATATTCCCATTCAAAATATAAAAAAACTAAATTTTGATGAAATTTCTCCAAAATTTATGAAGATAAACACGAATGATGTGAAGATGTGCAAGCAAAGTTAGCAAATAAACCAAAAGTAGTTGTATTAACTGCCTAAGACTTGTTGACTTTGTTCTGTTGACCGAGCGAAAATTAATTTTGACTTATACAGAGTACTCGCGAATGATTATCTTGTAATTTCGAAAACATCTGCGTGTAATCTGCGTTTGTAATAAATGTGAAAAGTTTCACTCTTATCGTGTTTAAACAGAAAATCTTCCATCGTGTTGGCGCGTGTGTTATTTTGTTGCGATCACTGGCGAAAAACAAACATTCGTGCATGCGTCGGTGCCGGCGGCGCAGCCGGGAGGCGGCGAGCGAGTTCCCCTTAAGCCTCGACAAACGACGGCGCGCAATAACGACAAACACGCCGGCGAAAATAAGAAAAGCGCGAGATTAATTTTAATTGTTTTCTGCGCGACAAATCCCACTTGGTAAACTGTTGTTTTGTTAGTGTACGCGTGTGCACATTCCATGGTTTGAAACAATTTTCAAATCAAATTAAACTTCACCATCATCAATTAAACGGAAAATATTTTTATTTTGTTACTAGGTTTTGGTACGCTTACCAACAGATTTTGCGATTCATTTTTATATTATAGATTTATGCACTAGTTGTTTATAGTTATGTCTACCTTTATAGCTGTAGGAATATTATAGTAAAATATGGTAATGTTGAAAATCAATATAGTTGTAATAATTCATGTTCCAGTGCGATATTCATTAATATGTACTCTCGCCCGAAATTCTGTACTTGAATGTAGATAATATTTATCGAGCGTACAACCAGTCGACCAAAACGTGTGTGCAAACGTCATTTTTAACTCGTAAAAATTTATTTCTGTTTTATTATGATGACAACAATATACATCAAATTATGATTTATATTAATGTTAGTGCACTATTATTACAGTTGATTAATATTTTATGAACAATAATTATTATTTGCTTTTATATTTGTAATATTCAACTATGATAGACGAAATTATTTGATTTAGCAATGCTTTTAGTTTATTTTTATTTTTTATAAAATTTGACTGCGCTACGTGATTTATTCAAGTATTATGCACTTCGAACGTGTGTAAATTCATGTTAATTACTGCTTTTAATTATTTATATGTGTCATGGAACTGCAGTTCTATATATAAATTATGCTATCATTTATTTTGAGTTTAATGAATCAAAATTTTAATAAATTATTTTCAAATGAAATAGGACATAATCAGAGGTTACGTATTCACATTTAACAGTTAATAAAAATACAATGGTGTCTATTATGACCGTCCACAGCTAGAAACAATAATTAAATACAAATTTTGCAAAATAAATTAGATTTTGCTTTATTTTGTTATTTTATTGATACTTTATGCTTCTAAAATAGTTCATGATTGTGGTTATGTCAAAACTACACTTTTTTACAATTAACCTCAAAATTTATACCTAACAGCTAACATTATTATAATGCATACCCTATTATTCTATATCTGCACCATTCAAATATAATGCAGGTTTTGTTGTGACGGTTCTATATAAACAGCTGGCTTGTT